CTACTATGCATTGACAATATGATCACCATGTCTTTGTATTTACATTGCACCTACAGTATTTTGAACATTGTTGTTTGACAGTTCCCAATAGCTCTAACATGCATGGTGAATCCGTAAATGCAAAGAATGTTCCTTTTTTGAATCCCCCCACTTACTGAGTAGTATCCTTTGGTACACTGAGCTGGCTCACCATTACCAGTACCATTACAATAATAACCATGTGTACAGTTTCCACAGTCAGCAAGCTCTGCACCTCGTTGTTCATCACGGAACGTACCACTGCAAAACAACACATCAATAGCTTAGGTTACAAATTAATTACTGTGAAATAATTTATTTTCACTGGAATTAATTTTTCGCTGAAAAGACTTTTTGGCTATTTTGTATAGAATTTATTTTCACTGATTTTTGATGAGTTGAATGTAAAATATAGGAAAAAAGGTATATTCGATTTTATTTTCATGAATCACTCCTTCAGCGAAAATAGTAAATATTAATTCCAAGCGAAAATTAAGTATTTTACAGTAATTCATGAAAACATTGATTTGGACAATTAAATATGTAAACACAAACTAGAATAACAGACATATCTAATGTAGGGGGGATGTTCAGGAAGTAGAATTTTTAGAAATTCACAACAAATAACTGAGAACCCCACAGCAAAGTAAAGTTGTTGGCAGTTGAAAAATCATCTGTACATGTTGTCCACAAATGAATACATCAATTCTAAAAAAAAAAATAGTATTGCACACACTTATATAATTAGCAGAGGGGTATCCTATGGTTAAAATAAGTTATATATATATTAATAACGAAGTTTACAATAAATGTTGGTGTACATGCACAAATGCGCTATATAGATAAAGTTACTGGAATATAACAAGATGGTCATAAAAATAATTTGATAAAAGTTGCTAATGCTATTCATAACCCCAAAAATAAATCTATCAATGAAAAATCTTAATTATATATTTTTCAAAAAAAGTTTAGCAACTGTCATCGAAGTTGATATTAAAGAGTGTTGAATTAGAGGTGCATGCATAATACATCTATACCCCCAGAAATGCCAGGATGTATGACCTAAAACTTACGGTGGACAAGAAGTTGGATATGATGAACCTTGTGGACAATAATAACCTTCAGGACAAGGTGTACAAACTTCCCATCGTACATTGCCTGTTCTATCAGAGTAGGACCCAGCATGGCAAGGATATTCAGTAGCCCACCGAGTACCTGAAATCAAAATAAAAGGAATGATTAGTGAAAGATCCCAGATTCTCACTAAATATTTTTAACACAACCAAATCTATTATTATTATTGATAATAATATGAGGTTATTATGAAGATACCTCAAAGTATGCATGAAGACAGTACAGCAGCAGTATCGTCCGACGCGCAGCGTACTGTCTGAGTGCATATTTTGAGGTATCTTCGTGATAACCTTATTATTATACATCTTTTCCTTCAAAGGATACATCACGGGAATGCCGAAATCCAAAATGTGTAGAACGTAATCAGCGAACTTCTTTGTGTGGAGTCCGGTCAAACCCTGGTGGCAGCCATATTGTTTTTTTTATTATTAGGGGACGCTTACACATGTAATCATTTCATATTTGGAATTCGCATTTCCTAATATGGTAGGATGAAAATACCCTGTAAAATACCGCAAAATTACGGCACGCTGTAACTTATGGCATTACAGTGACATACAGTAAAGATAATGTAACATTTCTTTTTTGGTTAATTAATAAGTTTATAAAGGTGATTACAAATAGTTGAGCAATCATAAAACTATCTGTGAATATTAAAGGCGAGACAAATTACAGTATGTAGGAATATGGCATATACAGTTTATAATGTAGTCCTTATGCTGTAACACTGTACTTAATGGTTTCTTTGATCAGTGAAGTGTTTTGATTACTCATTAATTGTTTTGTAAGTTTCATCACTTCGTTAACAGAGGACACTGTGCAGTGGTGAAATAAGTGAAAACAAGCCTTTGTCTATGACAAGTCCCCTCCAGTTTTTTGTGACAGGCAACATTACTGTCAAATAATTATTTACACTCATGTGACAGACATGATACAAAGTGGAACCAGTATATTTCTTTTATTTTGCCCATGACATTCATAATGCATTACTAGCACGAAAATGGTGATCAGCCATCTTGAATCAGATTCTGAAAAAGATGCATGTGTAAATGTGTTAAACAGTGTCCAGATTACTTTCGGAAATTCTGTCGCGTTTCGGAGAGTTTTAAATAGTTATTTGTTCATTTTGGTTAGTGAGGAAATTATAATAATTTTTCATTTCACTTTAACACATTACAGGATGTATATGTAAAGTTTGAAAAAAAATTTTTATCATAAAAGTGTTGCTTTTAATACACTGACTATGACAATGGAATTTTGTTCATGTACCACAGACACTTATTTTAACTCCTTATGTCTGATTCAGTAGTGATCACATGACTTCAAACTTCAGGGGATTACACATATAATATTATACAACACGAAATACACCTTGATTTACTCAGTCATAATACCATTACGAGTAGAAATTATGTCAGTCATTCTGTGTTTCAGTTGATGAAATATAATTTGAATCACAGGTTCAATGTTTTTCTTGTTACAAATGTCTTTTCATTTGCAGGATATGTTAAACAGGAAAGAAATGTTCCAAATGTTCGCTTGTTCATATTCTCCCAATATACTGTATTTGCTCTATTAGAGAGAGCATGTACTCAAATTACAGATTGAGGTAAATCTATTGTCAAAATAAGACATGTTTCAATTAGTTAGCATACAGTAAATGTGTGTTTAATGTGATAACATTTAACGGTGTTTATGACACATATCTCACACTTTCCCCGTGTGATCTGAGATCTTGGCAGTCAACGCGCCATCTTGATTCAGTCTTAAGACAATGTGGCAGTAACTCCTTTGTTAAACTTCAACTTTTCGATTCTCATAATTATCTTACGATACTGTTATGGAGAACACAGTTTCCACCAGATGCAGTGGCAGAAAGCGGCGAGTTAATGCTAATGCTCCGATCAACGATGTCGTCGATGATCCCATGCCACGCTAGTATACTACTACTAGTGCTGGTGATGCAATTATTGTTTTAAATGCACTTCTTCACCTATGAGCTGATTCCTTCACACTATGTGGCATCAATATAACTGGTGTCGTATCCATATTTATAGGTATTCTCTGCTTCCTTCTAGGCAAACCCATGTACAGTCTCTATTTTTAGAATCCATAGACCAAACACCTCTGTGAATCAAACAATTTTCACAAACAAGTAACACTGTACAATAAAAGACATACACATGATATCACCACTCACCAGGAGGACAATAGTGCCCTGTTGGGCACTCTGCAGTCGGTTCCACAGAACCCTCCAAACAGAAATATCCCTTAGTACAGACATAACATTCTGCTGGCTCTTTCAGATTTGTAAGATTGGTGTAAGATCCGGCCGGGCATGGAAATTGTTCAGGATATTCGGTCCCCGCTGGACAATAATGACCAGGGGCACAAGCTTCAGGAGGTCTTTGCTGACCACCAGTGGCTGTAATAAAAATATGAAATATAAATTCACATTCAGTTTCACTTTATTCTTACACTAATGTTAATTACCGTATGACAAGGTTAGGAAGCCATTCTTGAAAGTGGTTATTAACAAGACATGAATGCCCCAGTCCCTGTTATTTAATTATAAAATACTCATGTTAAAATAATACATGGAACATCTGCAAACAATTGAATTAATATGTACTCTATGTGGGTACAACTCATCATAAAGTGATTTCCCTTAATCTGATAACTGAAAACTTTCATTGACCGGGGTCCAAAATCTCAGAGTACACAAGTGCAACCAAACTATGTCTCATACATGCTCAAGAAACTGCATTCATAAATCTGAGTAAACCTTGATGTATCTTTAATAACAACTTGACTTCTTTGTTAATTCAGGTCTTTGTATATTGCCAGGACATGGGTTTGTTTCAGTATCACCACTATAATTCCCATCAAAATGTAGCCCTCACACTCCTCTACAGTTTCCACTGAGATTGGTAATGGTACGACCCATCTGTCACTGATTCAGATCAAGGTCATGACATCACTAAAAACCCTAGTATACAATCTAAGCTAATTATTTATTCTGAGCATGCTCAGTTGCTTTGTCAATGCAGTAGGGAGAGGTAATTTTGGATGAAAATCTTAAAAAAGACCCACTTAGGATATTCAGATCAGGAAAAAAAAATAACGTGCATACTCGGCAGAAACTTGTTCATCAACCTGCCAAGTTTCATTGATATCTGCTGCAGAATTTCTGAGAAAATGTTTGGGAAGTCACAGACGGGAAATTGAAATAAGAATTAATAGTTGGACAAACACTGAGAAAAGCACAATGGATGTGAATCTGTTATTAACTTTTAATGATTGTATTATGTTAGGATAATGGTTACAAAACCTTGTCATGTAAACCCAAACCTATAATAAGGTCTTGGTGACACAATACACAGTAACAACAATATCATCAGCATTTTTCAATAAATTGTCAGGAGTGAAATCTAATGTGAATGTCAAGAAGTGTCACAGATCAATAGCGAGGCCAAAGACACTTGCTGAGATTCATTACTGACTTTGGGGTAAATTTGATTAAGGTGCATATGTTTAGTTAGATGTGATCAACTCAGCTTGGTTTACATCAAAATAGTGGATTGTGATGCCATTTGACAGAAAAGCAATTCAGTTATTAAATTTGGTCCGATTTGATCAATTGATATGGTTTTTATGAATAGTTAAAAATTGCAATAAAACAGAAAGTCAGGAGAAACAGCAGTGCATGATTGGAGTAGTCACCTGATACACTAATTTCTTTGATTTTGGCTCGTAGCTTTTGCATAGCATAGACCATGTACTTACCAAGCAGACAGGCTACTTGTTCTGGACATGTCTCACACTGGTACTGAGTTGTTAAGTTATGAAAGTTAGTGTACGTCCCAGCTGGACAACCATGTGTAATATCATTGGGACTGTCACTACCTTCTGGACAATAATATCTGAAAAAAAAAAAAATAATAAAGAAATATATATAATAGTGCACAAACAAATAATTTTATTTTTTAAAGGGACAGAGATGCAACAGACTAAAAATACCAGTGATATAATAAAAAAATCTTGTTCATCATGTGATACATATGCAAACAATGTGCATAGACAACAAAATTTCACCCTCAATGTTTATACTTTACTGTGGCTTTTTTTGTGATGAATTATAAATCGTAAGAAAGTTTACAACATGAACAAAGCTCTTTTTTCAATAGTTCTAAATACATCACTATTTGTTTACTATTTTTTTTGTCTCACATGATTGTTTTTGTTTATGGGTGGCCCACCGAAAAATAAAATTCTCTCCAGTCACTGTCTGTTTCGGGCTGATTTCTTGCTATTCATGCATTTTCACAAGCACAAATACCTCTCAATAGACTATATGTATTGAGTTTTAACAGCATTACGAAGGCTGAATGCCACTTTAATGCTCAATGATGTTATTTGAGAGCCATGCTTTTTTTACTGCATCACTGCCGTCAAACTGCGTCAGTCATCACATTGGGATAAGTTTTCATATTGCGTTATAGTTATCACACTACATCACGTTCTGTACAGGGTCCATGTGACATGCATACATGTAATGTCTGTGTAGCACATTGTTTATTTTTACATGGAATTTTAATGTGCACTGCTTAGTATGATGGTCATAATGACCATTGAGTAGCACCTAGAAAACACAGGGCAATATAATTTCACTTTTCAAAATGAATAAAGTATAGCGCAATCTACAACTATTCTGTAGCGACACATCAACAGTAAAGGAAACAATATAGTACATGTAAAGTTGTTGAATATATTATTTTCAGAAGCTCATGTCAATTCTTGTAAAAAAGGAAATGGACTCACCCCGGATCACATGGATAATCTGGTCCTATAAGCGCTGGTTGAGTACACGCCCATCCAGCTATACATGGTTTACAATCGTCAATATCATCTTGTCCAACACGTGCATTGTACGTACCAGCAAGACAAGCAATTGGAGTGTCAGTACCAGTTGGGCAGTAATATCCAGCAGGACATCCTTTGCAATCAGTTTCAGCTGACAACAAAATGAAATGATTAATTTATTAAAAGCCGCGACTCTGTTTCAAGGACACGGTAAAGCGGCGCCTTGGCCTGGCTGGTATCAGTCATCAGCAGTTGGAGACTCTGGCAAGTGACCAGGCTAGATGGCGCATAGTAGTAAGGGAGGGCGCTAAAGCGGTTCAGAGGATGGGAGGTCAAGGAGACTGAAAAAAGACACCGACGGCATGCGACCATCGGCCCTTTGAAGTGAACTCTGGACTTTACTTTAGTATTTGTTAAGATGCAACGTTTAAGCTTATGCTTAACTCTTTAAATCATGCCCAAATATCAATATATTCGCGGCTCTATATTCATGTTATTTAGTACATAATAAAAAAAGGTATTATCAAGTACTTGTATATGTTTTTACAGAGCCGATAATTGGGAGTTTACTGCTGCTAATTATTTGAATAAATAAGTACAAAAAATAAAATAAAATTCATAAAGTTGACATTTTGTGAAAGTTACAGTCACTCCTGGTAAGCTGGCCTCAAATTTTGTGATTTATTAAAACTCCCTGCATCCAAATTACTATAAAATTTGTATTAAAAGCCACACCCATTCTTTTTGAACAATTGAGACCCACCATTTTAATGGAAGCCGTGGCTTTTAATACAGATTTTACAGTACATGATCTTTTCAGTACCTGATGTTCCTGTCTCCTCTGTGAATGTACCAGCTGGACAATCCACTGGACCTGCAGTGGCACCTGGGCAGTATTTCCCCTTTGGACAAATGCGTTCACTTGCACTTCCTAAAATTAAATACATATAGAATACAATGATTGATACAATGAGTCATGATTGCATGCACTCATCGAGATGCAAAAAAAACAAAACAAGTTTCTTGCAAAATAATACTGCACAGTTATTTCATTGGCATTTGTACAAAGTAACTTCATGGTAAGTGCACCCTCTGTGGCAAGATGACAGCAGTAATTCAAAGGATTTATCATAAGATCATTAATCCGAGTACAATACAGTTTTATTTTATTTATTTAGGATTACTGTTAGATTAAATCCAGAGATAGCTTTATTGTTGATAACGATACTGGTTTGAAGTAAATTACATGCGTATAAAATAACAAACGAGACCAATAAAAACTAAACGCAAATGTTTATAAATTATGCAAAAAAAAGAATATCCAAACTAGTTTTAAATTGATGATATGGTTAAAGCACTATAGTTGTCTTGGCGTGTCATGTTCGATAGCGACGTCTGCAACTTGTGCATAATACATTGTTTGTTTATATGACATTCAAACATGTGCTGCGTGACAACTGCATAGCGCTTTTCACTTCTCAAAACCTCATCAAAACATTTTTAAGGCCCAAGAAACATCAGGAAAATAACTTTTAAGATATTTAATATTCAAAAGAAACTTTGATATTACATTAGTATGACTGGTATGGGAAACCGACCTGAAGGGCAGTATGTACCACCCTGACAATCCACACAATCTTCTTCTCTGACTTTACCCAATTCAGCATTATATGTACCACCTGGACACGGAAATTCAGTAGCTACGGTTGTACCCTCTGAACAATAATGACCACGTGGACAGAGATACTCGTTACCTGGTTCACCTACTGTGGCCTCCGGGCAATAAAAACCTGTCACAGATGAAATATACCCAGATTTATATGTGATGTCACAATTGTGATGGGTCAGGAAGATTCATTTGGTAAATAAAATATTCCAAATACATTTGTATTGTATATGTCCTATTAAAAGCACTTCTAAAAGCACATATTAACAATTATTCTGTACCATTGAATATAACTGTCATATACATAATACTTGTATGTGCTACTAATAACAAAATACAGTATATACCTTATTGTCAACATAATTCAAATTTGCTGTATCAAAGTTGATCAAAATTTGAATTAAGTGATACCCAACAACAACTTTGTGCCACTTAACTTAAAGGTAATTTTTGTGCCACCTAACCTGATATTAATTAGTGATTTGAATCACTTAACCTGATGTCACCTAAGCTGAAGGTGATGAGTGGTTTGGACCTGATGGTATTTAGTGGTTTGGGGTCACCCATAGAAGGTACTAACGGAAGGAGCCACGACGCCTCTCAAGTGGCCACTTAAGCTTCTTAACAGGCTTATTTTCTATTGTTTCAACCCAAGCTAATCCTGATGAGGACATTGTCTAGCTTATCTTTGATGTCTATGATAGTTTGCGATTGTTTACACAAGTAACGAGTTAGCGGAATTTGATACAACCGAGCAGATTTTTAAATGTGACGATAAAATATATGCGCATTATGAAACTACGGTCATCACACATGCGCACTCGGTTGGTTTAGGTGTGATAGGTTAAAATACGTATTTCACAACCGGAAATTCAACAGATGAACGTTTGACTTCACATATTTCACATGTTTTAGTTGTTAGCAACTGTAACAAGAACAATATTTCGAGTGTCTACAACAAAAATTCCTAAGGACTCCTAAAAAATATTATCACAGAGAAAGTGTCTAGGCGTGCCCTTCTTTTGATACTATCTTTTCTGGTGGTGTTCGCCGATGCCCGGTAGTCGAAAATTTCAACAGTTTCGGGCGTCAAACCCACGCAATGACAATGGTTCCATTGAATAATGCAGTCGTTATTATCACAGGCAATCATTGATTAAGTCTCATCACCGTTACAAATACAAAAATTTTCACGATAGTTCATCAGTTCTTCTCCAATCGATGTTATATCTGCTAATTTTTCATTAAAGTTCGCCAAGATCTCCGGAAACAACAGCATTCAAACTAGACGCCATTTTCAGCATTTTACATGCCAGGTTCGTCTATCGCTTCCGAACATGCTCCGAATATTACCAAATGCTTGAGAGCTAACAGAAACAATGTTTGTGAACAAACATTGACAAACGATCATGGGGCAAAGCTAAAACAATAGCGTTGTGGCTCCTTCCATGGGCAATTAGTGATTTTGAACCACCTAAGCTAGTGCTAATTAGTGGTTTTGAGCCACCTGACCTGATGGTGATTAGATGTTTTGAGCCACATAGTGATTAGTGGTTTCTAGCAACCTTAGCTGGTGGTAATTAAAAAATATGTTGTAAATACAAAAAATAATGAATAAAAAAGAAGAAGCGAAGCCCAATATTCTGATTTTACTTAGAATGACTGTGATGGTAATTATTAGTTTTGAGCTACGTAGACTGGTGGTTATTAGTGATTTTGAGCCACCTAACCTGACAATCAGTCATAGTTGTGTATCATCTAACCTGGTGGTAATATTTAAACTGACCTTGTGGACATGTGCCACAACCCTGGTTAGCTGATGTTGCACCAGTTCTGTTACCATAGGTACCAGCTGGACATGGGAATTCATTCAGACCATCCTCACAATAATAACCTAGAATTAAGAAAAAAAAATATTATAAATCTTCAAATGATAATCATAATAATAATGGACACTGCTATAACACAGAGGAATTTCCTGAAATGTTGTTCATTCTTAATGCTTTTAAAGATTCCAGTGAAAAAAATTACCCAAACTAATATTATGAACCTCTGTTATATTTTCAATTAAAATGGCTTCCAAATTAGAGTTTAACACTGTGGGAAAATCACTAAGTAATTGTCTCCATGGAAACAGGTTTGAACACCTTTTTATTTGCTTTTTGCCATTTATTTGATGAATCAGAATCACTGTGCTCAAAAAATATCTATAAAAGTTTTTAAATTTGTTGATTTTTTTCTTTTTTACAAATTTGTTGTATCCATCTTTGAAGAATTTCCAACAGTACAGGCCAATACAGTATCCAAAACATTCACTTCTTTACCTTAGAAAAAAATCTTCAAATGAAATCTTCAAATGATAATCATAATAATAATGGACACTGCTATAACACAGAGGAATTTCCTGAAATGTTGTTCATTCTTAATGCTTTTAAAGATTCCAGTGAAAAAAAATTACCCAAACTAATATTATAAACCTCTGTTATATTTTCAATTAAAATGGCTTCCAAATTAGAGTTTAA